ATGATCCAACACCCTTATGGCCTCCACGGGTACCTGCACACACATGGTACTCCTCAGCACACACACTAATAAAAATAAATCTTAAAAGCATATACACATAAGGGCCTGGAAGAATTGTTTAGTAGTATAAGTATTGGCTTAACATGTGCAAAAAATCTTGCTTTTAATCCTCGACACACACACCAGCTCCAAACCAACACCAAAACAACCTTACTTTAACTAAAATACTATATTTGTGAAGTTTTTGTTACTATATTAATATGTTTATTCATAACTGTGTTAAAATACACAAGGGAGGTGTACTTAAAGGGAAGAGCTATAGATTCAGAGGTTCCAATCCAAGATGAGCTGACCAACATGTCAGGGGGTATACAGGAGAGCAAAGCAGCTCGCCTTGTGGCAGGCAGGAAGTAGAAAATGTCAAAGAAGCAACAGAGGACATGAAATGGCTCTCCTAGGCACCTATTCTCCCCTGCGAGGCCCCACCTACTTTTCACCACCTTCCAGCAAGAGCACATAGTCTGAATCCATCAGTGGATTAATCCCTTCATTCGATCAGACCCATCAGATCCAATCACGAGGCCTAGATGAATGAGCTTGTGGAGGACTTTCCTATTCAAACCATACTGTTCCACCTAGCCCCCAAATCCTCATCTCCATCACAGAATGCAAACTGCATTTAGTACAGTCCTTCTCAACCTTTCTAATGCTGCAACCCCTTAACACAGTTCCTCATGCTGTGGTGATGCCCAGCCTTAAAATTATTTCCTTGCTACTACTTTTTTCATTTTTTAAAAAATATTTTTATTTTTATGTGCACATTTGTCTGTGTTAGGCTGTCAGATACCATGGAACTGGAGTTATAGACAGTTGTGAGCCACCATGTGTGTGCTGGGAACTGAACATGGGTCCTCTGAAGAGCAGTCAATGCTCTTAACCACCAAGCCATTTCTCTAGCCCTTGTTGCTGCTTCTTAACTGTAATGCTGTTACTGTTAGAATAGCAATGTAAATATCTGATATGCAGAATACATTATGTACCTGCATACACAGCCCTGTGAAAGGGCTGTTTGAACCTCAAAGGGGTCAAAACCCACACGTGGAGAACCACTAAGTTAATACATCTCAAGTGCCCATAGTCTTAACAGCTCTGGTACTAATGACAAGTCCAAGTTCAGCCTTTTCTGAGACTCAAGATAAGCTGTGAAGCCCCATAAAATTAAAAAGCAAGTTCCATACTTCCAACATATAAGTCCAGTGTAAGCATTCCCATTCTGAAAGAGAGGAATTGGGTGTGGAAAGGAAGAATGGGATTCAGAGTACAAATAATCACAAAAACTGTAAAAGAGTAAGTAACACAGGGTGGGTAAGGTGAGAGACAGGAGGAGGAGCTGACAGAGTGTGGAGGCAGGTGGTACAGTGGGCTATTATCTTTTTTTATGAATGTTGTAGGCATAAAATTCAGGCTACAGCCCTCAAGTGTGAGATATTGTCAGCAATTGAACTTAAAATTTGAACTCAATTTTGCCAAGGTAGAAGCCTAAATTTCAATTAATTTGGGGCCTCATATGTCACCAACCTCTGCCCCCTAGCATTGTTGGTCTATTTAATACCCGGGCATTAGGGTGGGCTTCTGATTCTTGGAAGACAGGTCATCCTTGCACCTTGCACTTAAAAGTCTTAGGGCTTTAGTGATGTAAGACCCCATGTCTCTTCCTTCCCAGGACAATGGTACTATATTGCTGTTTGCCAGGTCTAAGTAGGATTAGTCACCATAGGGCTGACTAATCAGGAGCAAGAGGATTCAGGTCTGGAAGATGAGAGCCTGACTTGGGTTCCCGGGGTGGGGGTGGGGTGGGGTGGGGTGTTAACTTAGCATGGATACTGTAGCAGGAGCACTAGGGAGAAGGCTTTGCAAGAATAGCTGGAGCAAGGCTGGGGTGAGACCACATCTGGTTTCCTGACCCTCCCCTGACGTGAGTGGGGAGGCTGTCATTAGGAATGTTCTGGGACCAAGAGAGAAGCCTCAGGAGGAAACCCACATGACTGGAGATCAGCCACACCACAGAGCTGGGCCCAAGGACTATAGGTTAGAAAGGAAAGAAATGATGGCCCTTGCCTCTGTAAGCAGTCCCTTCACACCCTGAACCTGGAGATATTAGATTTCTAGATATGCCTTTCTTTGCTCCCCAACACCTGGAAGAGGAGGGAAGATGGAAGATTGGCCAGTGGAAACAGTGAGTAGAGACAGTTGTGCCTGTGAGAGCTGAATCCACAGCAGTCTTTTACCGCTACTGTCAGGTAGAGCGTGGAAGGCCATCAGCAGCTTTCTTTCACATTACTCAGTTTGAGCTTAGCAGCAGAAATAGCACCCAGATAACACCAGGTGGTTGCACCTTCACCAGCATACTCCCCTCCCCACAGTAATCAAGGCAGGTTGCTCAGGCTTTTTGCCAAATCCTCAACTGGCACTTCTTCATGGTAATGCAGCATTTCTCCACCGTCTCTCACTTAAAAAAATTACTCAGCACTTGGGAGGAGGTGGCAGAAGAATTATGAGTTTGGATCTAGCCTGGGCAACAAACTATGTAGCTTAGGCTAACCTAAAATTTAAGATTCCCCCGTCCTGTTCTTCTGAGTCCTGGGATTGCAGGCACATACACCTAGAGAGAATTTCTCAATATTCCATCCTTCTAAGAAGTAATTACTATGATAAGACCAACTGCAAAGTTGTTGTTCAAAATAAGCCGGGTGTGATCAGTTAAAGTGTTCTTGGGTTAATCTGGTCTTAATACATCTGGACTGACCTCTGCTGGCCAGACCATTAATCAGCCAACATTTTTTTCCTTCACTTGAGATAACATGGTCAAAAAAGGGGACATTCATACTTAATTACATGGATTCATATGGTTCAACTTAAAAATAGTATGCCCTCCACATCATCATTTGGCTGTCAGGCAGGCACACGGGGGCAGAGGAGAATAAGGAAGTTCTGTGGGCTACCCAGGGCGGATGCTCCTCTGTGTGTTTCCTCCTGTGCAGCTCAGGTTCTCTACATTTAAAAGTACATAAACAGGTTTGGATCAGGGGCCTGTCAGGAGCCATACAATGCTCACCACAGTATCTCCTGGGTTCTATTTAAAGCTACAAATTCCCTACTGTGAGGTGGTCTCTTATGCTCCAACTTAGCCAATGCAGACAGATCTGGTGTATGGTATAAGCTAAATTTTGATACAAAGTCTTGTGCTCTGATAGATAAAAATTGTAAAAATAACATCTATATACATTTCTAATATTTTAATTCTATTTATTAGTTCATTTTTAATTTTATGTGAGTACTTGAATTTATCTGTGTGTACCATGTGCATGCCTGGTTTCTAAGAGGCCAGAGAAGGGCATTGGATCCCCTGGAACTGGAGTTACAGGCAGCTGTGCGCCTCCACACGGATGCTAGGAACCAAACCTAGGACCTCTGCAAGAGCAGCAAGCACTGAGTCATTCCCCCAGCTCACATTTCTAATATTTTAAAATACAGTTGTTGATTTTTTTTTTCTAATGCTTACTTTTAGCTGGGGAGAAGGCTCAGTGGTAGACTGTTTGCTTAGCATATACAGAGTCCTAGATTCCCCAGCAACTGCAAAAACACTTTTAACATCTTCTAAGACACCAAAATGATATAAAAATACCTCTATCACTAAGTTGTATTAAAGCTGTTAAATACAACCAGGTGGTGGTAGCACAGGCCTTTAATCTCAGCTCTTGGGAGGCAAAGGCAGGCAGATCTCGTGAGTTTGAGGCCAGCCTGGTCTATAGAGTGAGTCACAGGACAGCCAAGGATACACAGAGAAACCCTGTATCAAACAGCGCCCCCTCCCAAAAAAACCAAACAAACAATAACAACAACAACAAAACCCCATGAGACGTAGGTTAAAATCTTGAAATTTCAAGCTATATTGCTTGTCATTTTTCCCCTATTTATATAAGCGTAAGTTTGGGTGTGTTGACTTATTTGGCATAATTCCTTACTTTAAAATTTAAAATTATTTTTTGTGTATGTGGATACAATGCATATGTGGGTATGTGTTCCGTCAATAACCAAAATATCCTTAAGCAGCACATGACTATATTATCATGGATAATTCTGTTGGTCTCAGTGCAGTGTGCATACACAGGTAGCTAATCTACAATGGCTAGTTTGGAGGTAGTGTGACTTCTCTGGATCATTAAGTTCTTTCCAGGATAAACATTCAACTAATCAACTACAGGACATGCTCCACTACAAATGAGACTAGAACCAAGTCATCAAAAGTAAAAGGAGTCTACATACTCCAACTTTACTGAAAGTATCTCTGTATTACATCTTTTGGGGCCTTCATTTCTTTCTCCAGTGTTGGGTTTTTTGTTTTGTTTGTTTTTTCAAGACAGGAATTCTCTGTGTAACAGTCCTGGCTGTTCTGGAACTCACTTTATAGATCAGACTGGCCTTGAACTCACAGAGCTCTGGAGAAACCCTGATTAAGAGGTACTGCTGACCATGCCTGCTTGGGCCTGGTCCCAGGTACCCTGACCACGCCTACTTGGGCGTGGTCAGAGTGATGTAACAACGGTTTAAGTAGGACAGTGGCTCGCATGCAGCCCCTTTTCTCTTTCGCTTGGCTGAGCTCACTAGGAAGCATCTTGTGGGTCCCTCCTGCTTTGGTGCAAACCTGGTCACTGGCTCCCTTTCATGAGTACTATTACTTAATAAACTACCTGTTATCAATCTATTTCTGACTCCACTTTGTAAACCTCATTAGAGCTCCACCTGCCTCTGCCTCCTGAGTGCTGGTCTGGACAGAAAGTATTTTTAAAAGATAAAAGTTTTAACTTGAGAAATGGGTTTACATAAAAGGAAACCAATGTGTAACTTGGCAGTTAGACAATTACAATGCTATTATTTGATTATTTGTGTGGAAATTAATCAATTTCTATTATTTTACAAAACACCTGGGAAAATCAATATAAAAGGAAGAAATATTTATTTTGGTTCATAGTTTTTAAGCTTTATTTTTAATTATGTGTATCTATGTGTGGGTGTGTGCATATGAGTGTAGGTGCCCACAGAAGCTGGTGTCCATGGAGTTTCAATTACAGGTGGTTATGGGCCACCCAATGTGGCTGAACTCATGTCTTCCGCAAGAGTAATTTGTACTCTTAAATGCTGAGTTGTCTTTCCAGCTCCTGGCTCAGTTGTGAAGGTTTCAGTCTGGTCACTTGGCCCAACTTTTGCTTTTGGCCTGGGGTCTATCATGACAGGAAATTCATGAGAGGTTTCTGGGAAGTAGAGACGGGAGGATGGGAGGTGGCATGCATGCCAGGGTCCTAATTCCAGCAATGTCTCTACTCTAGGCCACTTCCTAAAGACTCCATCACCTTCCAGCAGTGCCACCAGCTAGTGACCAAGCCTTTAGCATTGGCCTTCAGGATCATTTATGATCCAAAATCATAACAATTTATGGAAATCTTTTCTGTTTTTAATCAAATTCTTTACTATAAAACATAATTTAAAATATTTTTAAATACAATTTTGGCAGTGTGGTAATTTTGCTAGGGAAAGTAAATTCTACTTTGCTGGAAAGAGAAAATTCCTCAAAACTATCAACTAATTTATTCACATGTTAGAACGGGTGAGCCAGTGAAAGTCCTAAAGAGAAAAAAGAGGACAACATTCAGTCAAAAGAAATAATTATATTAGACTCACTGTAATTGCTTTAAAATCTGGAAGAACTATATAATTGTGGTAAAATAAGGTTTGTGTTTGGTCTAGTCAAAAGGAGCTAAAAATTAACTGGTCTTGTATAAAGCAGCCTAGGAAACTCATTGTTTCTAATTCTTCTTCCACTAACAGTGATCAGGATACGGAAAACCAGAGTTGGAAAGAAACAAATTTACTCAGCAGAGAAGATGAGACCATGATCCCAAGTCTGAGAAGCACAAACAGGAGGAACTACAGAGCATTTTATAGGACAAACAGTGTCCGCCCCACTTGGCCAAGACACAGTTACCATAGAACAATGGTTCTCAACCTGGGGTCATAGCCCCTTCAGCAAACCCATACCTCCAAAATATTTACATTATGATACATAACAGTAGCAAAATTACAGTTATGAAGTGGCAGAAAAAATTTTATGGTTGGGGTCGCCATAACATGATGAACTGTATTAAAGGGTCACAGCATTAGGAAGGTTGAGAACCACTGCCATAAAGATATTCCTACATAAAGTAGGAATCAGCCAGCCTGCATTGTGAATCAATGACAAATGGTGATATACAAACATTTATTTAAAAAAAGCTTGGATCTCTGTGAGTTCGTGGCCAGCCTGGTCTCCAGAATGAGCACCAGGATAGGCTCCAAAGCTACACAGACACACACACACACCCACACACACACACACACACCCCCACACACACCCCCCCACACAAAAAAAAAAAAAAAAAAAAAAAAAAAAACCTTGGAAATGAAAATATGTCAAAATTCCACTGGAATAAAAATGTTAAAGTATTTAATATAAGAATAACCCTATAGAATGACTAATAGGAGTGATAATTTACACTTCTCCAGAAATACCCAAATGACATCCAGAGGAAAACTGTAGAACAGATTTGAAAGAGAGCCTTACAAGGATTAGAAAGACCCCAGCCAATGCCACCTGCCTGCTCCCTGGCTTATCCTATGTGTGTTCATCTGCCTGACCAGTGGGCTCTGCTCCTGGTACCCTTTCTCTTGGCTTTAAGATAAATTCTGAAGTCTCTGATGTCTACCTTTACACAAACAGAAATTCAGCAGAATTCTATATATCTGACAGTTTCCAAATCAGTTGTTGTGTCTTCTATTGATTGTTCAGGGATCTGGCCATTGTGCCCCATCTTGCTCAAAGAAGACAGAAACTGACAGCAGATCTGTGTCTAGGAACCAAGAGAGAGATACTAGCTACTGTGTCACTAGGCATTAGAGGCCACATAACTGAGTTGAATGCAACCAAACATATCCACTGAGTGCAGGCTCATCTACACTGTGTTCATGCATTTTCTTCTCTTTCCGTTCCTTTATTTTGGTCTGTTCCGCCTCGACCACAGAGCCCCTGTCTTTCCATCTTCTCTTTGCTAACTCATTCAGATCTCAGCTTAAGCACTACTTCCCACAACACCGATGCATTTCTTTGCTTGCAGTCACATCCTTGCTGTCAAGTAGCACTAAGCTGTGAGGCACCCTACTGTCTGTCCACTTCCCCTGCTGAACTGTGAGCTCTGTGGTGGAAACTGAGCCTGGTTTTGCTCACTTGTTACTTTAACAAGCACAAGTAACAATTATCTTAAACTCAGAAACAAACTTAGGAGGAACTCTGGATAGCAGGGGGTGTGCCTTTCAGGGAGAGTCAGCAGAGAACATGCTTTTCTTGCTTTCTGCCTGAACTTACCTGGGCCTTCCGTGTGCTCTGTGGTTCAATCATGATGTTGATAAGACAGGGTTTACTTGCGTCTTCCAGAGTCTGCCTCAGAGAGTTTTGGAGTTCTTCTGGTGTTTTTACAAAATACCCTTTGCCTCCAAATGCAGTCATGACCTGCTCATAATGCGAGTTTGGCAAAAGACCCATTGGAGGGGCACTGAAAAGTAATTGTAAGTCAATAAAAGTTAAATCTTTCAGCTTATAAAAAAAGGAAATTTCCCAACATTATCTGTGAAAAACTGTAAGCTGACCCACCAACAAGGCATACTTTTTTTTTTTTTCAGAACAGCTCTATGTAACAGAAGTATGTAAAACAAATGTCCTTCCCTTACTCCATCTCAGTATTTTCATGCCCCTTGGTGAGTTAGGCAAACTCCAGGCCTTAATTATTAAAAGAATGGGAAGCTCTATCTGCCAGTGATGGCATCCTTAAAAGTCAATGCAACAACAACTGATAAGTTACTGTCCAGCTGTTGTTGGTTTTTTTTTTCCCCCCTCCTTTGTTCATTTGCTTTTGAAACAGGATCTATATAGCCCTGACTGGCCTGGAACTTGCTGTGTAGACCAGGCTGATGTTGAACTCCCTCCTGAGTGTTGGTATTAAAGGCTTGTGCTACCATGCCTGGCTCTCCTACCCCATGGATTTTTTTAAACAGTTATTTTTTTCTTTAGAGCAAACAAACAAACAAAAACAATCAGCTGAGCATTGGATCCATGACTTAAAGACAATATCCAACAACCCCTTTGAAAGCACTTGAAACAGTCATCTACATTTTAACTGCTGGATGTGGACTACACCCTTCAATCTGAAAATCTCCAACTTTGAAGTCATCAGTCATTTCAACTTTTCAAAGATTTTCAGCTTTGGTTCTTATTGATACTGAATTTTCAGTAGCTAAATGTGATTCAGGTAAATTCATCTATTTCTCAAAGTGTGTACAAAGTTGCCTGGCTGCAGGCTGTGATGTGTGTGGTCATGTAAATCTTCAGGGTGCTAACTGGCAAGGTTATGGAGCAGTCTGGCCCATGTCATGTGTCCTTTGGTACAGCTGGCTGGCTGTTCACCACACAAAACCAGCAGAGGGGATGGCATGGAGGCAGCACCATCGGAGCTCAGATGCCAGTACATGTCTTTCTCTTTATTTTTGCTTGTTTTGAGACAGGCCCTTGCTATGTAGCAGAGACTGGCCTGGAACTCAGTATATAGCTCAGGATGGTGTAAACTCAACTCTGGATCCTCTTGCCTTAGCCTCCCAAGTGCTCAAGTTAGTTTCCCCCATATTTTCAACTGAGTCTTTTTTGTATATGATGGAGTCTTGATATGTCTTAGACTCATCAGCTCAAGTGATCCTCTTGTTCCAGCTTCCAGACAGAATAGGTGGACTACAAGTGTGTGTCGCTACACCTGACTCCCTGTATTTTTTATTGTTTATATGGCAATGTCTAATAGAACTTTCAGTAATGATAAAAATGTTTCATATACAGTATGGCAGCCATACTGTATTTGGATTTTTAATTGGATTTTTAGAAGACTGACTGATGACTGATTTTAAGGCAGGGTTTCTCTGTGTAGCCCTGGTTGTCCCAGAACTCAGTTTGTTGACCAGGCTGGTCTCAACTCAGACTCCTCTGCCTGCCTTTGCCTCTCGAGTGCTGGTATTCTATGCCCAGCAACAAAAGATTTATTTTTATTTTGTATGTATATGGGTATTTTGCTGGCATGTATGTCTCTTCACACTACAGGTGTGAAGGAAGCCAGAAGAGGGCATCAGATCATCTGCAACTAGTGCCATCAACTGTCAACAACTACTCATTTAAAGATAAAAGGGTATTGATTTTCTTTTTTATGAGACAAAATTTTATGTAACTCAAGCTGGCTTAGACTTGCTATGCAGCCAAGGATGACCTTGAACTGATGATCTTGTATCTACCTTCTGAATAATAGGTGTGCTCTAATACTCCCAAGGTAAGACATGCTGGGGATCAAATTTAGGGTTTTGTGCTTAAGAAGCAAGTAATCTCCCAAACGAACCATATCCTCAGCCTAGAAACTGGACTTTTCACATTATTTATCTTTAACTAAAATTAAGTAGTAACTAGATTAGGAGCTACTTCACCAGATAGCACAGTTTACATATCAACTAGAATGAAACCAAGAGGTGTGGCATGGTGATTTGAATGACAATGGCCTCCGTAGACTCCTATGTTTGAATGGTTGGTCCCCAGTTGTTGGAACTATTTGGGAAGAATTATGAGGTGTGACCTTGTTGGAAGGTGTGTCACTGGCGGCAGGCTTTGAGGTTTCAAAATACTAAGTATGCTTTCTCTGCTTGCTACTTGTGGATCAAGATGTGAGCTCTCTCAGGGACTCTAGACCAACAGCTGGGGATCCTGCATAGAACTGAAACAGGCCCTCTACACGTGAACGACAATTTTGTAGCCTGGTCTGTTTGTGGAATCCCTGGCAGTCGGACCAGGATCTATCCCTAGCACATGAGCTGGCTTTTTGAAGCCCACTCCATATAGTGGGATACCTTGCTCAGCCTTGATATGGGGTAGGGAGGGGGGCTTCCTCCTGCCTCAACTGAATGTGCCAGGCTTTGCTGGCTCCCCATAGAGGGCCTTACCCTGTCTGAGGAGTGGGTGGGAGTGGGTTACATGAAGGTGGGAGGAGGGGAGAGGAGGGGAAACTGTGGATGGTATATAAAATCAATTAAAAAATAAAATATTGGGGCTGGAGAGATGGCTCAGAGGTTAAGAGCACTGACTGCTCTTCCAGAGGTCCTGAGTTCAATTCCCAGCAACCACACGGTGGCTCACAACCATCTGTAATGAGATCTGGTGCCCTCTTCTGGTGTGCAGATATACATGGAAGCAGAATGTTGTATACATAATAAATAAGTAAAATCTTTAAAAAAAAATATTAAAAAATGTGAGCTCAACTGCTGCTCCAGTGTTATGCCTTCATTCCACTATCATAAACTCTAACCCTCTAGAACTGTAAGTCTAATTAAACTTTTTTTATATATAAGTTGCCTTGGTCATAGTGTTTTATCACAGCAATTGAAAAGTAGTTAATACAAATGGTTATGGAAAAACAATACATAAATGAAAATATTGGTACTCTACTCTCCAGCTGTCTCATCAATTTTTATTTGTCAATACCCATGGCAGCTCTAACAGACTTAGTTTGACTCTGCCATCAGATGATGAAGGTTTAGCTTAGCTTTGTGGTAAAAAAAAAAAAAAAAGGAAGATCTTTAAATCACAAATAACATGCCAGCTCCTGTGAAGGCTAATTTTGGCTGTCAGCTTGGCTACATCTGGAATCAACTAACACCCAAGCAGCTGGGCATGTCTGTGAAGGTGTTCTCTGAGCTGGGGCATTTGAGGTGGGAAGATGCACATCGGGGCCACACCTTCCGATGGCAGTCCTCATGAAAGGACATAACAGAAGGAAAGCTGCTTTCGTCTGCTTGCCCTTACTCTCACTGGCAGTTCTGCTCTTTGAGAGAACCTTGATTAATACAACATAGTCCTCCCTGGTATAAATAATAGCACTGTTGCTCCCCTAGTATAGACATCACAAATTCTGACCTGAGTTCTCAGTGGTTCCCTGACTGTAAACAATCATGGACAGTTGTATAAAAAGGAACCATGAAGAAATGGCTTCTGCCCTTTAAGAGGGCAGACAAATTAACCAAGTTTACAGCATGTAGGCACATTCCAATCCAGCAAACTTTTAAAAGACAGACTAAATATCCGACATAATGTAACTATACATTTTGAGTTACTCACGCTGTAACAGCTTCTTGAAAATTTAACATTTTCTCCCAAGTGTCTGCATCAAAACCTTGGTAGATTCCATTATTGTTTATAACCAAGAGTATGATTGGCAAGTTGTACCTAAGAGTGAAAGTAAACTATGAAGGGATCATTCTTTGTAAAGCAATTTCTTTTCTTAAAACTGAAATTTTTACTTAAAAGTAGATGTTTTTGTAAGATTTTTTTCAGTATTAAGAAGGAAATTAAGCATTTCTTATCCTAATAAGTATCAAACCATTGATAGAAACATTGCAGCCTAGGGGTTGATAGTCTGTTTAGCTATGGACCTTAAATCATTAAACTTTTCCAGACAGTTACAAGAAAAACACCTCCATTCCCTACCCTCCTAGGCCTGTTTCTACATAGTTCCCAGGAACACTGTCTGAAAAGTCCCATTCTATTGTTGAATGCTTCAGTGACAGTCAGCTCATGCTGGATGCTGTGAAAGACACACAGCAACTAATACCCAGTCTGCATCTCGGATCATAACAGCATGGCATGATCAGCACAAAAACAAGCATCCAAAAGTCTCAAGCAGTATAGCAAAGATGAAAAACCTAAAAAGGCTGAAAAAGAATGTGGGTTTCCATATATATATTTCCCCCCTGGGGGCTTGTGGTAATGACACAACTAAGTAACATAAATGTGCCAACTATCTATTCTCCAAGCTAGAAGAGAATTATCACCCTCTAAAAGGCTAAATTCTCTTCATACATCATCTTTTTTGGCATATGTCAAGTGGTTGTCAATACAGACCTCTAATAGACAATGCTTTCCCCTAACATACGGGTTCATGTAGCCCAAGCTGACCTTGACCTTGCTGAGGATTCAGCTGAGGATAACCTTGAACTTCAGATCCTTCTGCCTCCACTGCCATCTCTAATCCCAAATGCTGGGATTACAGGGGTGCATTGCCAAACCTGGTTTGACCTTGTTAGTTTTATATACCAAAGCTTTGAAAGTCCCAAAACATGTTTCACAAAAACCCTACTATGAGCCCTATGTAAAACAGTTTTATTATAATTTAAATACAGCTGGGGTAAGTGTTTGGGGAGTCCTCATGCTGATACAGTGGGAGTTTGTACATTAAAGTTTATAACTAGGGACCTCAAAACACAATGCTGTGCCAGGACACCTGTTTGTGAAGTACATAAGTATAAATTTTCATATTTATGAGAATAAAATGCTATGATTTATGGCTCTGTTTTACCTGCAGATGGTTTCCACTTCCATGCCAGAAAATCCAAAAGCACTGTCTCCTTCCACACAGACGACCCGTTTCCCAGGACTTCTATCTTTAGCCACTACAGCAGCTGCAATAGCAAATCCCAAACCAACTCCCATTGTTCCAAAGGAACCAGCATCGAGCCTGTTAGGAACAACAAAAGCCAAAATCAAACTAGTTGGCACGAACTTTTCAATCTATATATGGTTTATGGAAAAATTAAGAAATAGACATTTTTTTCTTTAATATAAAATTTGGGGGCCAGTGTTGGTGGTGCACGCCTTTAATCCCAGCACTCGGGAGCTAGAGGCAGGAGGATCTCTGTGAGTTTGAGGCCAGCCTGGTCTACAAGAGCTAGTTCCAGGACAACCTCCAAAGCAATACAGAGAAACCCTGTCTTGAAAAACAAAAAACAAAAAAAAATTGAGGAATATAAGGAAGTAATTTGTCAAGGAAAGGAAAAAGCCACTCACAATTGCTTAGATGAATGTAAATATAATCTTAGAACACTGAGCATAGAAATCATTACATTATACCAAGAATTATAAAGCATTAAAACTATAAAATCGCACTTAAAAATATACTTGAGATAGATGGTGGTGGATCCCTTTGTGTTTGAGGCCAGTCTGGTCTACAGAATAAGTTCCAGGACAGCCAGGGCTACACAGAGAAAACTCTGTCTCAAAAAAACAAAGCAAAATAAGAATATACTTATGTGGGGCTAGAGAGATGGCTCAGAGATTAGGAGCACTTGCTGCTCTTGCAGAAGACCTGAGTTTGATTCCACTGCCCACATGGAGGCTTACAACTGCTTGTAACTCCAGTTCCAGAGGAACTTCTGACCTCTGAGAGCACCAGGCAGGCACATAAATATATGCAGGCAAAACACTTGCACACATAAAATAAACTAAATAAATCTAAAGAAAATTTAAAAATACACTTATGAAATATGTTCTTATACCAGATAGGTATAACTCTCAAATATTTTTCTTAATCAGCATTACTGTGGTTTCAAATTAAATGCACTGTTATTTCTTTCTTGGAGTCTTACCTGTGACGAGGAAGGTAGTTCTGAAGCACAGTACGGCCAATGTCCATAGTATTTGCTCCCTCGCTTACTATAAAACAGTCTCTGGGTAACTGTTCTTGAACATGGTAGAATACTGTGTAATAATTCATAGGGAGGGATCTTTTGGAAGCTAATTCCTAAAAATAGAGGTAAGTACACACTAAATTATATTGGAACATAATGAAAACAATAAGCTATTACCAAAGTTATTTTGGAACAATTCAATACCACAAATAAGCTAGAAGATCCCCCAAATAGCTATACAGTGGCAACTCTTTGAACTGTGAACAATCCAGGACCATGCTAAGAACAATGTGCTGTACAATATGAGTTTGGAACACAATGAATAAGCTGAGGAATTGCCCATGACTTAGTGATAGACCTAAAGATGGCTGAACAGCATTGGGTTAAACAAACAGAACAATCGTGCCTGTGCACTCTTGGAAAACGCTGTATTAACTATTTTTCAGAACAATTTTACCTGAAGTATGGTCCTAAATTTAAAACTAAAATGCTAGGACTACAGAAGATGATTTGAAACTCTGGTTCTTCTCTCACACAGTGTAAAGGAGCAGCTATGTTACATCTGTTATTTAAAAAGTCCCTGAATGACAGCGCAGTAGTAAGGTAGATGTTTTCACACATTCTCATGCCCGCTAGTGCTGAGAGGAGTCACTGGTGTTTCTCAGTAACAGTCCTCTTTGGTCCCCACGCTCCCAGCTTCACCTGTGCTACCCTGCTCTGCTGGAGGTTACACCACAATCCAGGAAAGACTCCCCACACCCTAGAGCAGACAGAGGAGCAAACCCTAAGGAATCCTGGAGATAAGATGCATTTATTTACAATAATAGAAAACGGAACTAAGACTGACTCTTGGCAGTAGAAATAGTCACTGATTAAGATTTCCCTGCACAGTGGAGTTAGCCATATCAATTCTGCTATGATGTTTGGTTGAAAGTACACAGTGACTCTATGATGATAGATACATTAGAGAACAAAAGTGCCCGACTCAAATTTCAAATTTGCAAATGTATCTTTCTATCAGGAGGAAATCACAGGTTGGGCTGGAGAGATAGTTCAGTGGTCAAGGGCACTTATGGTGATACTCTGTTTTTGATCTAACAAATAAAGCTTGCCTGAAGATCAGAGTGCAAAACCAGTCACAGACATAGAAGCCAGGCAGTGGGGGTACACACCTTTATACCAGTAACCACACTAGTTAGCCACAGAGGCCAAGCAGTGGTGGTACACAGCTTTAATCCCAGCACTTGGGAGACAGAGGCAGATGGATCTGTTAGTTCAAGGCCACAATGAGCTACACAAAACTGATCCAGTCTAACATGGGGTAGGGCCTAGGCCTGGCCCAGGATGATGTGGTAGACTTTGGGGAGCCCCTTTTGAGGGCCTTACCCTGCCTGGGGAGTGGAGGGGGGATGGCTAAGGGCAGGTGGGATGTTGGGTGTGAGGGGAGGGAGAGGGAGAAGGGATTGACATCTGAAGCAAGCTTGTTCCTAATTTGAACTAATAAAATAAAAAAAAAAGCATAAAAAAAAAAGCTGATGCAGTCTAAAAGAGAAACAGAGCTCACACAAAGGTGATCTCAGTACTTGGGATCCCACACCTTTAATCCCAGCACTAGAAAGGAGATTAATATAAGGCGGGAGGAGACAGGAGCTCAGTGCAGTCTGAGGTTTGATGGAGACAGATGCAGTCTGGAGATGCAGTCTAAGGACAGGATTGCCCTTTCGGTCTAAGCATTGGTAAAGATGAGAACATTCAAGTGGCTGGTCGCTTTGTTTCTCTGATCTTTAGCTTTGACCCCAATATATGTCTCTGGGTTTTTATTATTTGTGCTACAGGCACTTGCTCTTACAGAGGACCCAGGTTGGGTTCCCGCAACACATGGTAGTTCACAACTATCCATAATTCCAGTTCCATCTTACCTCCGAGGGTACTAGGCACACATGGTACACACACACACACACACACACACACACTCTCACACACTCACAAAAAATAAAATGAATTTAAAAAGAAGAAACCCTAGGTGTATACTGAACATTGCACCCAAGATACACACGAATACACAAAACAGTTAAAGAAGAAAGCCCAACATCTCATCTGACAATCAAAGAGAAAGTGCTTATTTACAATGACATTGAACAGAAAACACCAACACTGCCAAAGTGATTTATTGTAGTACTAACTGGTAAGGATTAGTGGTGATTTCAAAACTCATGACAATCTCCCAACCTTCATTATGAGGCAAAGTCACAAGGGCAGATGTGAAAGCCGCAAGAGTTTCCAGCAGTGACATAAAAGATAAATGACAGTGTGTATGGGTAGATTATATACACTGATCAAACTTTTCATTTTAATAAAGGAACTACTTATTACACTCACATGCCTTGAAGGAAAGATATCTTAAGGACAGATAACCATATTCTAACATGCCCTAGGAATTAAGGTGACATTTCTACATCAACTCTTATACGCCCTAGGATTTAATTGTGCTATTATGCATCAAAATCAAACTAAAAAACTTTCCAAGAACAGATTGCTTTTATTCTATCACTTCATAGCAACTCAAGAACCATAACCCTTTGGATGCTAAATTATGCAAGGAGCTTGAGGCCTTTTTCAAGGTAAAGTACAAACATCCACATGGGTATACACATGTTTTTTTCTTAACTGTTTACATGGTTGAAACTTTATTTCCTTTTTTTCTTTTCCAACATTGATTTTCTCTGTGTAGCCTTGGCCATCCTGGAACTCGCTCTGTAGACCAGGCTGGCCTTGAACTCAGAGATCCACCTGCCTTTGCCTCCTGAGTGCTGGGATTAAAGACATGTGCCATCATGCCTGGCTTCACTACCATTTTTTATTAGGCTCCGGTCTGACTTCTGGTTTGTGGATCTCATGAGAGCTGTGCCCTAGCAGCACTCTTTTTGACCCCAAAGCACACACAATGCAGTGCTTTTTAGGTCTGCCTATGCCTTATAATGGGAGGACTAAGCAACTCATCAACCTGGCAGGATCCTGAATTTCAACTGGTCCCACATTACCTTGGATACAGCTTCATTGCTCTTCATTTTTTCCCTCAGAGTCTTCCACCACTTGCTGTCTGTGGGGAACTGCCATGGGGTTTTATCAAACTGTTCCAAAAGCTAAAAAAAAAAAAAAGAAAACAAAAACAAAAACTTTCCTTTTTAAAAATAAACTTTCTTAAAGAAGGCACAGTACACTGCTCTGCCCTTTGCATTGCTCACTCTTACTTCTCTTCCTGCAGTGAGCAACTGATGGGGGGCCTGGTGAGCACATGACACAGACCAAGTGCTGCAGAGTGTGGCAGGGACTGCATCTGCATCTCAGTGCTGTACACTCAAGATAATGAATATCATACACAATCAAGTGATAAATGTGACCATTTTACCTCCTGCCACAATAGTATCTATAGATTATATGTAAATAGAAAGCCAGACAAGTCCTTGATTATAGCTTGAAGAGTAAAAATTGTTTTAGTACCTAAATATACAGTTAGATTTTCCCATTGGGTAAGTCAAGTTTAATTAACTAAAGCCATATTGTAATTTTTTCAGAAAGCAGGCAGGACTCTGCTTACTGAATTCTGGTTTGAATGACCTTAAATTTTCATGATATTAAATTAGTGTTCTAAAATGCTTAACTTCTACAAATATCAACAATGTACAATAAGCTGAATTTACTAAGTTCCAAAGTTACAATTAAAGTTAGTTTTCTATCATAAACTTAGTTTAAAATTGATGTCACTAGGCCACCAAGTAAATCAAAAGAAACATTATCCAGAGATGACTGTCCACAGAGACCAGTCCACTAAAACTAAAACTCAGAGTAAGGTTTTACCTGTTTAGAAACAGCATTTGCATCTCCTAGCAAAGTCACAGAAGGCCTTACATTATTCCCCAATTCTTCTGCATAGATATCAATCTAAAAAAGAGAAAAACCTGAAGAACAAGCCATGTTTGGTCTTTTTTTGTTTTGAACAAATTTTAAAAATTGTTTTTATGTTACATTTTATTTTCTGTGCATGAGTGTTTTGCTTGTATGTATGTCCGTGTATTAAATGTGTGACTGGTGCACAAAGAAGACAGAAGATAGCATTAAATACTTTAGAATAGGAGTTACAGATGATTGTGAGCTGCCATGTAAGGCTGAGAATTGAACCCTGGTCCTCTGGAAGAGCAGCAAACTCTTAAAAACCTTTAAGAAAGGCTGTTGCAGCCAGTGGTGAAGCACACCTTTAATCCCAGCACTTGGGAAGCAGAGACAGATGGAGCTCTGAGTTCCAGGCCAGCCTGGTCTACAAAATGAGTTCCAGAACAGCAGGGAGTACACAGAGAAACCCTGTCTGGAAAAACAAAAACAAAACAAAAGAAACAAACAAAAAACAACCACAAATCAAAAAACAGCCCAAGAAGAACTGGAAGAAGGGCTAGAGAGATGACTCAGAAGTTAAGACTCCTGGCTGCTCTTCTGAGGACCTCAGCTTGAGTCCCAGCACTCACAGGGAGACTCATAATCATCTGTTACTGCAGTTCCAGGATATGTGATGCCCTCTTCTGGCCTCAGCAGGCACCAGGAACATACATGTAGAGTCACAAGGAAAGGTTAGAGTACTTTCTAGACATTCAGGTTAATGGCAGTGAAAGGAGAGTTACTTAGTGATTTCCAAAGGCTGACACATTTTGGCATGTAAAAGAAAAATTCACCTCCTCACAAGACTGAGGGTGTCACTTCAGTCTACCACCTTGCTTAAGCCTCTCTTTTTCTGTCTTAAAATATACTCCAACTGTGAAGAAAGGCAAATTATGCTTTTCAAGCTGTTTCAAACTTTGAGAGCTTTTCTCATTAGAATTATCACAAAACACTTTGTAGGTTTGGTACCTGTAATTATGTTAGATAATTTGTAAAATCTATTTCTGTAAGAGAAAAGGTTCTTCACAAAAACCAAGGAGAACAAAGAAGCACAGAGTTGATCAGAGCCCCCTCAGTACCTGAATAAACTTCACATCTGCCCGGTATCTTGGAGGCAGTCCAAAATGTAATATCCAGTTTAGTCTCGCACCAAATAACACAATCACATCAGCAAGCTGCAAAGCCCTATTTAAAAAGAAAGAAAAAGAAAGAAAGAAAAAAAAACACAATTTATCGAGAACAACAAACATACTGATAATTTTTTACTTGAATTGTTCTAAACTTCCTAAAATATTTTTGAAGTCTAAACAATTTGCAGCTTCTAGAGTAAATCTGATCTTTCTGATTAAAATAATTTTGTAAGACTGGGAAGATAGCTCAGTGGACCAAATGCTTGCTGTGCAAGCAAGGATACCTGAGTTTGGACCCCCAGCACTCACATAAAGACTGACTGCTGTGATGTTGTCCCCATCTGGACACTGGGGTGGGGACAGGTGGAGAGAGGTGGAAGCCAGGTGCCTAGTCAAACTGGCAAGCTTCAGGCTCAGTGAGAGACCCTGTCTCACAGCTAAGGGGCAAAGTGACTGAGAAGAAACCTAAGGACACTTTGTCATTCACACCTGCATGTGTGCACCCCACCCCCCAAAACATACCCCATCTCTTACACACACACAAGGAAGTAATGTGCTGTTGTTTTGTTTTGAAGATAGAATTTTTTTTTTTTAACTAAAGCTGGCCTCAAACTTGTGATCCTCTTCCCTCTGCCTCCAGATGCTGGGGTTACATGTATGCACCATTATGCCTGGGTAGGTTTTGGTTTGTACGTGTTTCTGGGGATAGAACCAGGACTTCATGCATGCTAGAAAAGCAACATAGTGAGCCACACCCCAGTCTCCCAACCCCTGTACTTGCATCTCAAAGCATACTTCACACTGGTTTCTAGGAGAAAGCAGGTTTTATAAACATCATTTGTATTCCAGAATTTCATTCTTTTTTTTTCCCCAAGACATGGTCTCATGTTGCCCAGGTTAACCTCAAATTCTCTATGTAGGAGGATGACTTTGAACTTCTGATTTTCTTATATCTACATCCTCAGTGATGGGATTAACATGTGGTGTCACCATGCCAATTTATGCAATGTAGGACCTGCTAGGTAAACACTCTCCCAATTGAGCTCCATCCTCAGTCTGGAAAAGCTTTCAAAAATATTCTATATGCATATTCACCTAATGTCTAAAGAATGGAGACCAGTTTGTGTTTTCACAAATTTTGAGTAACTTGATCATCTAAATTTGGGTCTTTTGCTATGTGAAAATTCCAATGATTCTACAGACAGTCCTGTAAGCATATTACTCTGTAGGCATCAGAAGGCAGATATTATGTAGTATGATTCTAATTGAAACATTTTTAAAAATATTGAAAAAATGGAAATTAGATAAGAGTCCAAACAACTGCCAGGCAGTGGTGACACACACCTTTAGTCCCAGCACTCAGGAGGCAGAGGCAGGAGGATCTCTGAGTTCGAGGCCAGCCTGGTCTACAGAGTGAGTTCCAGGACAGCAAAGGCTACAAAGAGAAACCTGTCTTGAAAAACCAACAAAACAAAACCAACAAACAAACGAACAAACAAACACCTGGAATACCACGCACCTGGATCTGGCTGAGCTTACACAGTTTGGATGATTGTCAGGGACAACACCCTTCCCCATCGGGGTGGGCAAAAATGGCAAATTGCACTGCTCCACCAGTTTCCTGATACTGTCCTCTGCATGGGAATAAGCAGCACCTAAAAGAAAAGCAACTCATTGGATAATTCAGTTACACTTGGCACTGAGAACCTCCAACATATCATGTGAATTTGCTTTTAGATGACCCAAATACTCTCTCCTGCATAAACATCAGCTTGAAAGGAAAATGAATGAATGACTATTCTGAAGGATGGCCTCTAAACAAAAAGTGTATCTTGTATCTCCTGCTGCTTTCACTTTCCTGCTTCCTGGTTGGGGCCTACTAAACTACTACCCACAATTCCATGAACATAAGTGGGCAGGGAAGACCTTGGTCCTGAAAAACCAAGACTGTACTTTCACTAATTGCTCTACATTACCTGTAAGCCTCTTCTGCAGTATACTGTGCAGGATGCATGAGTTTCAAAAGCTCTGCAGATCTCTCTAGTATCTCTACAATGCTGCGTCTGTGACAGGATTACCTGAGGGAGCACATACCTACCTGTCTTACAACTGTGTGCTACACATAAAACATGTCCTCAATGACATTGAAAAAAAAACTGTTTTGACAATATAGGAATAATTTCACTTCTGAAGTCATCATGACCACTATTATTTTTCACTATTTAATTTTATATCCTTTTGTTGTTGTTGTCTTGGGATTTTTTGTTTGTTTTGTTTTTTCGAGACAGGGTTTCTCTGTAGCTTTGGAGGCTGTCCTGGAACTAGCTCTTGTAGACCAGGCTGGTCTCGAACTCACAGAGATCCTCCTGCCTCTGCCTCCCGAGTTCTGGGATTAAAGGCGTGAGCTACCACTACCCAGTTTGTTTTGGTTTTTCTGAGACAGAGTTTATCTATGTAACAGTCCTAGCTGTTCTGGAGCTGGCTTTGTAGACCAGGCTAGCCTCAAACTCTGCCTCCATCTACCTCCTGAGTGCTGAAATTAAAGGTATGTGCCACCATTGCGCAGCTTTAATTTTATATTCTTTAGAGCTAATAGCATACTAACCATTTCTCTATGCAATCCTACTACATAGTATAGTGTACATTCAGATTAAGTATCACGTTCAGCACTAAAAGGCCATCTTAGAACTGTTTATTATGCACATGCGATGAAAAGTAGTCCTTTTTTTATTTCCGCCAGAAAGTTTTCTTGCTCTTTTTCTTGTCTTGATGTCTTTGTATACTCAGTTCCTTCTTCCTAGACTACCTTTGTTTCACTTATCTACCTGGGGAACTACTGCTTTTTCATGGTACAGCTGTGGTCCCAACACCCACACACAAAAAAAAACCTCCCTTTCTTGTAACTCTATGATCATGAGAACTCAAGTCTGGATCCAGGCAAGGTGGCACATCTGTAATCCTAGCACTAGAAGAGTATAGACTGGTGGATCCCAGGAATCATTGGCCAGATACTCTAGCTGAATCATGAGTTCTGGGTTCAGTAAGAGACCTTATCTCTAAAAAATAAATAAAAAAAATAAAAATGGAAAGCTACAGAAGATGATACCTAGTATCAACTTTTGGTATCCACATGTGCACATGCATGAAAATGTACACACATACACCATATATAAGAATTGGAAAGAATTTAAAACTGAACTCCTTTAATCACAGCACTCAGGAGGCAGAGGCAGGCAGATCTCTGTGAGTTCAAGGCCAGCCTGGTCTACAGAGTGAGTGCCAGGATAAGCTCCAAAGTTGTACAGAGAAACCCTGTCTCGAAAAATAAAAACAAACAAACCACCCCCCCCCCCCGCCAAAAAAGACCCCAAAAATTATTAAGAATATACTAGTTCATTTAATGCCAAAATTCAAGAGGCAGAGGCAGGTGGATCTCTGTGATTTCAAGGCCAGTGTGGTCTACATAGTAAGTTCTAGGCCAGCCAGGAATACAGAGAGAGACCCTGTCTCAAACAAAACAAAATGAAACAAAACACCAGCATACTGTACTTGTCAGCAAGTGCCCTTTAGATAGAAATTATTATTTCACTGCATCCTTTAGGAATATTTTCTACAATTGCTGCCTTTTTGTAAGCACTAGTAAATAAATGTTTTTCAAGGAAGACTGAAAACTGGAATCCACCTTGAATCTTTGCTATTAATTACATGCTATTTAGGTAGCTGCTATCCTTTGTAAGTCAGGTGATGAGACTCAAAGCAGTTACTTGCCAGTCAAAAAACCAATACATCATACAAAGCATTGAACTCAGCACTGACCTCAAGGTTTTTCCTTCTTTGCTCCTCTACCTCTGGGGCTAGAACCCAGGACACAAAAGCAAACATTCTAGCACCGAGCTATACCCTCAGTGCTATCACCTTCCTTAAAACTATCTTCAGTTTGTCTACAGTTGGCTTCTAAGCAGGAGATAATTGATGAACATAGTCATAAGTATTCCTAGTGGTTCTAGAGCAGCAAGCAGGTATAAGAATATATTCCCAGCCATGTCTATAACCACAGTTCTTAGAAGGTCAAGGCAGGGCAATGGTGAGTTCAAAATCAGCCCAGGATACATGGTAAGTTTGAGACAAACCTGAGCTATGTAGGAAATCCTGTCTCAAAAAAACAATACAAAATAAAAGAAGTAAAAACAATAATAATAAATTATTAACAGGAATATAAATTGTTCCTATGGCACCTAAGGAGTAAGCAATGTATCAATAGTACCGAAAGTCTTCCAGACACCCACACCTTTTAATTTAGTTAGTTCTTTTTGGAGCTCTACCATAAATCCTAACTATGGAAAAACCTTTGCATAAGAATGTTTATCAAAACTACGATAAATAAACAAACATTTGACAGCAAGTGTCAATGTTATATCATTCAATGTTAAAATTGTGTTTAAATAACTTTAAGAAAAATAGCTTATCAAATATAAAACTGCCTATATAACATTAACAAAGTATGTAAAAATAGACAAAAAAAAATAAATTACTGAAGGCCAAAACAGGCTTCCTTGGAGAGATTCCTTCTTTCTTTCTTTCTTTCTTTCTTTCTTTCTTTCTTTCTTTCTTTTCTTTCTAAAGATTTTATTTATTAAGTATATAGTCTTCTGTCTGCATGTGCCCTACACACCAGCAGAGGGCACCAGATCTCGTTCAAGGTGTTTGTGAGCCACCATTCGGTTGCTGGGAATTGAACTCAGAACTTCTGGAAGAGCCGTCAGTGCTCTTAACCTCTGAGCCATCTCTCCAGCCCAAGAGATTTCTTTTTTCTAAAACTTTTCTAGATTTTCCAAAATATTTCTAATAGAAAAAAAACACATTTACTTCTAAGTCAAGAAATGAAACTATTCTTTGTAAAAGTGAGGTCTCTGAGCCACTGAGGATAAGTTCTGCGATTTGAAAATGGATGAAATGACCACTTATTCCAATTACAAACACTAGAGCACATAAAAACAAACAAGGAAGACAATGTCTAAAGAGAACCAACATTCCCACAGCCTGTGAGTTAGGAGTTCTTATGCTACCTTTCCCGATGATGAGCAGGGGCTGTTTGGCATTTCTAATAACAGATGCTGCCTTACATACAGCAGGGGTTTCGGCCATGCTAACTGGAGGTGGCAGGCAACACTCCTTGTACCTGGAAAGAAAAAAGGTGCTATAATTAAGACAGGCTAGGGACTGGAAGATGGCTCAGCAAGCAAAGGCACTTGCCACCAAGTCTGATGATCTGAGGACCGAAGTTCAATCTGTGGACTGGTGGAGGGAGACAGCTGACTCCAGAAAATTGTCTTGTGACCATTAAAGCATGCATATGCACACACGCAAATAAATGCTTTAGGCCAAGAGTCGTGCTGCACACCTCTAATCCCAGCACTCAGGAGGCAGAGGCAGGTGGGTCTCCATGAGTCTGAGGCCAGCCCGGTTTACAGAGTAAGTTTCTACAGTCAGAGCTTTAAAAAAAAGTTATTTGGGAGCCAGGTGTTGGTAGTACATGCCTTTAATCCCAGCACTCAAGAGGCAGAGGCAGGCAGATTTCTGTGAGTTTGAGGCCAGCCTGGTCTACAGAGTGAGTTCCAAGACAACCTCTAAAGCCACAGAGACACCCTGTCTTGAAAAGCCAAAAAAACATTTTTTTTTTTTATTTTGGGGGCTGGAGAGATCGCTTAGAGGTAAGAACACTGGATGCGCTTCCAGAGGTCCTGAGTTCAATTCCCAGCAACCATATGGTAGCTCACAACCATCTATAATGGGGATCTGCAAGCATACAGACAGACAGAACACTCATATAGATCAAAATATATAAATGAATATTTAAAAACAGGCTAATTTTAAAATTTCCTACTGTGAAAATTTCAAATTTTACATATATTTGGCCAAGCATGGTGATAGACACTTTTAATTCCAGCACTCAGGAGGCCGAGGAAGGCCTATCCCTATGAGTTTGAGGCCAGCCTGTTCTACAGAGGTGTAGTTCCAGGTCAATCTGGGATACATAGACCCTACCTAAAAAATACTCCATAAACTCAATGTGGTAATTTAATGAGAATATTATTTTACCACATTTGCATAACTCGTACACACAGAGTACCCACCACACCCCCTTGAATCTTTTTAAATTCACTGCAGGAATCAGACCTTTAAAAAGCTTGCAAACACAGCTTTCTAAAAGATAAGAACTTTCTTTTATACAACTATAAAATCATTATCACATCTAGCAAATCAAGAAGTATTCCTTAATATCATCTAATAATTGCCAGTCAAATGGATAATGCATTGACAGATGATCTGGGTCAATGGCACCACAGCAGGAACAGTAAAACAGAAAACAGTAGTAGCTAAAATAGAAAAAGCATTATACACTAGTATGTAATACTATATCCCATTTATTCTCATTTGATTTTCAAAACAACAAGGTAAGGTATTACTGTTAGCTCATTTGCACCAGGTTCCAGATGGCATATGGCAGAGATGCACTATAGCAGTATTCTGCTGCCAAAGTCCCTGCTGTTGTCATCTCACCATTCTGTATTCCACTCACTAGTAAACTAAAATTACAGCATCATACCAGGTCTTACTAAAAGAACTATTAAAACCATCATAGTTAATTTCTGCATAACAAGTCCTTACTTTACATGGTATTTATTCTCACATTAAAAAATGGGGATCTATATTATTCAAATATCTGGACACACAATAAAATAGGGGCATTAACCTGTATACAACTTTAAAGGAAGGTTACAGATTTTAAACTTCCCTAAGGCTCACTGTCCTTCATTCCTCAGTATTATTTTGATTGTCATATTCATACATATACACAATAGATGTCCTCATGTCTGTTTCTCACAGACAGAAACTACCCACTACACTGAATACACTGACCACTGTCTGTAGCCACTAGAGAGCCATTTCCATAATAGCAAGGTCCACAAAACTTGCATTTAAGAAATATCCTTAAAACAATGAAACTTGCTGGTCAATGGTGGTACACTCCTTTAATCCCAGCACTTGGGAGATAGAGGCAGGTGGATCTCTATGAGTTTGAGACCAGCCTGGTCTACACAGTGAGTTCCAGCCAAGGCTTTGCAGTGAGACACTGTCTCAACACACACACACACACACACACACACACACACACACACACACACACCAACAATGAAGCATGTTATGATGTTCAATAAGTAAACTACAGCAGGAATGCAAAAACATATATGCACAACAGTAAACCCAGTACTTGGGAAAGGGACTGAGTTTGAAACCAGCTTGGACTACACAATGAAATTCAGTCTTAAAAATCTCTAAATATAAAATTCAACATGTTGACTAAATATGCATGATAAAAAGGACAGGTACTAAATGTTTAAAATGTCATTCCTTAGATAAAAGGATTTCTTAGACAAAAGTCTTAGATAAAAGGCTGGAGGGAAGACTCAGTGGTCAAGAGTACTTGCTGTTCTTCCTGGACCTGATGTGTGTTCCCAGCACCCACGGCAGGTAGCTTACAACTGTCTGTAACTTCAGCTTCGGGGGATATGATACCTTCTTCTGTCCTCCACAGACACCACTACATGTATGGCAAACGCGCGCGCGCGCGCGCGCGCGCGCACACACACACACACACGCACACGCACACGCACACGCACACGCACACGCACACACACACAGATGTACAAATAAATCTCTTTTTAAAAAGACTATATACTATACATCTCTGGATTTTTCTAACAATGTTGTTAATAGAAAAAGCATATTTTATTCCTAAAACTAAAAAAATACCACTTAGGGATTCAATGGACTACAGTCAGCATCTGTATCAAGGTGAATGATAATCGAGTGTGACTTTTTTGTACTTCTTTTCACTCAGTGCTCTTTTTTTTTTTAATATTTATTTAACTTTATTTTATGTACATTGGTGTAAGGATACAAGATCCCCTGGTACTGGAGTTACAGACAGGTGTGAGCTGCCATGTGGGTGCTGGGAATAGAACCTGGGTCCTCTGGAAGAGCAGCCCTGCTCTTAACCACTAAGCCATCTCTCCAGCTCCCACTCAGTGCTTATTCAAGAAATAAAAGTTCAGGGCAAATTACAGAAACACAATTCAGAACATTTTAAAGCTACATGGGTGATAGAAAAAAAACACTTTTTATTCTGAGTCGTAATAGGTTTTCACCAATCATCCACCTCATTTCTTGGCTTACAGTAAGATGCTTACAATAACTTATACACTAATGCAGATATATATCTGAGGTTACGGGGCGAATAACTTTGAATGAGGAATCAGTAAGTTCCAAGAATTTGATTTAGTAATTAAATCCACAGACAGTTACTAAGTAATACCATCTAAATGAAGAGAAGCCTTTTGGCTAGAATTCAGTTTAATTACAAAATCATCAAAAAACATTGAGACACTTGGAAATTGACACACTGCTAGACAAATTCTTTTTAAAGACTAAGTATGATAACACAATATTAAGAAAGAATTCTGAATAATTCTTACTTTATAGAATTCACGTTCCCCTGGAGGGTCACAAAATCTGCAGGAATGTCAATGTAACAAGCACCTGGACGACCATAGATACTGCTCCTCACTGCCTGTGTTATGACAAACAAAATGCCTCAATTATCATATGCTTCTTGAAGTCAATGTAAAAGTGTAAAATGAACACTAAATTTTTTTAGGTATTCTTAGTTGGATGAAAAAGTCATAATTAAAACTGAAATGTTCTCCATTAAATATATTTATATATTTATTATGTATCCTAAAGGGGATACATAATTTCTGTAGGGCTCTGAAATTCATACTCTATTACACTTGAAGAATATCCACAAGGCTCTGCTTGCTGTTTATGTTAGAACATGAACTTTCACCCACTTCTTAACCTTAATCATTTGGCAGAGTTTCCAGAAACTGTTGACAATTTAATATATGTCGATTTGATTCTGTAATGTGTAGTTTTGAAATAGCTCAAATATAATTTCACATAAAACTCGTTAGCTAACATTAATTTACAATGTACTATTTAATTAACTAAATGACAATCTTATATGCATTCTTCCCAATATTTTTGTAAATGCTTAAGAGATAAGAACCCAAGGGCTTATTATACATTTATCTTCACTTTGGTTTAACTAAAAAGATAATTTAAGAAACTAACATACAGGAGAAGCTTTTTTCCAAAAATAGCTAACTTTATCTCTATTTCAATAATTAAATATAATGGCAGTGAACATTAGAATGTAAATAGCTTTTTAACAATGTCATTTTTAATTGTCTGGCTATATTATCATTCCATTAAGAACAAAAATAGCAGTGCTGACAGTGTGACTCTGTAGAGGAGCATGTGCTTGGTATATAGGAGATGCTGGGTCCAATATCTGAAGAGCTTTTCAGTAAATACTGTACCTTTTCAATAACAAAAGGAATATGTTCTAAGCTGGTTGGCCGGGCAGAGAACTTGCTAAATAGTCTGCAAGCTTCAACCTACAGAGAAAATGAAGATCATTTCAATTCAGCTCACAATCATATTGCTTTCATAAAGGAAGACAAAACATTCAAGTCATTACTTCTTATTACATTTAAAAGCAAGACAGAAAAATGTGGGTTTTATTTTTATTTGTTTTTTTGAGGCTATCTCAAAAAATATTCAAATCACAAAGTCCTAGTCCTCCCTCAGGATGATTCTGGAAACAAAACAACACATTATTTTCCTTTCTCAGGTTGTCAAAACTGAAGATAATATACACCATGCACCATGTACCACAACACAGGCAAACAGGCACTCTTATAAACTGCTGGGGGAGTATAAGCAGAAGGGAAGCTGGCCAGGCCTATTAAAGCAAGTGCTCAGCTAGGAATATATAAATTCACTTGTCCATCTTACTTCATCTTCCATTTCTGCTGCTTTTCCTTTCAAGTATTTGCTGTGGGAACATGGGAATCTGGGGTGCTACCTCTACATTGTCTAATGTACTTGAAGGAACATGGAGAAACTTTCTCTTGATACTTTTCAGTATGAAATCTATGGAAAAGATGACAGCCTTAGTCACACAGGCCTGACAGGCCCAAAATCAGCCTTCAGTTTTCAGATTCTTGTTTTTTGTTTGTTTGGTTGGTTTTGGTTTTTCGAGGTAGGGTTTCTCTGTGGCTTTGGAGCCTGTCCTGGAACTTGCTGTGTAGACCAGGCTGGCCTCGAACTCACAGAGATCCACCTGCCACTGCCCCCCTCCCCCTCCCCCTCCTCCCCGAGTGCGCCACTACCGCCAGGTCAGTTTTCAGATTCTTATGCTCATGTCCTTCAGTTTTAAGGACTTCCAATAAGAAAAAGATAATTGAATTTTAGATCAAAGTGTGCTTTAATTTTTAATCTAATAAACTTATTACTTTTAGGAAAATGTAATTTCATAGTTGGCATTAATGCTCTGCTCCCTGCTTCATATCAATATTTTTGAAGTAATTTCAAATTTCCTTTGAAAAAATTGATGCATTTATTTCCTCTCTGTATGTGGTGTTTGAATGAAAATGGCCCCCATGGGCCCACAGGGACTGGCACTATGTATCAGGGACTGGCCCTGTTGGAGGATGTGTGTCACTGAGATGAGGTGTTGAGGTTTCAAATGCTCAAGCCAGGCCAGTGTCACTCTGTCTTCTTACTGTCTGCAGACCCAGATGTAAAACTCTCAGCTCTTTCTCCAGCACCATGTCTGCCAGTACACTACCATGCTTACTGCCATGATGATAATGAACTGAACCTCTGAACTGTAAGCCAGCCCCAATTAAATGTTTTGCTTTATTAGAATTGCCGTAGTCATGATGTCTCTTCACAGCAATAGAAACCCTAACTAAGACACTGTGTATGTGGATAATGGAGGTGATATGACAACTTGTGGGAGTTGAGTCTCCTACCATGTGCATTCTGAGGATGGAACTTGGCTTGTCAGGCTTGATGGCAAGTACCCTTACCCACTGTGCTATCTTGCCAGTCCTAAATTTTCTTTTTCTTTTCATTTTGTTCTGAGATGGGGGTCTTGCTTGCCTAAGATAGTCTTAAATTCATGATCTTTCTGCCTCAGCCTCCTAATTGTTGGGAATGGGTGTCACCACATTCAAGTCTATACCTAAATTTCCTTCCAATTATTCATCGATTCTACTTTTCTGGATATATTAGCATCATTTGAATACTTTTGTTACTGTTACAATTAACTAGTAAAACTTTGTTTTTGAAGGGCATAAGGACATAATTTTTCCATTAACTTATACGAAGGGTAGTATTTTATATCAGTTTATGATACAAAACTCTCTATGAAACTCTGGGTATGGTTCAGAGGGAGAAAATATGCCTACCATGTATAGTTCCAATGCATTCATGCTACGTGTCAACCCATTCACTCTCAGCTATTTGTATTGGGTCAATATTTTTCTTTAGCTTTATTTACTTAACTGTGTATATGAGTGTTTTGCCTGCATATATGTATGTACACCATGTATGTGCATAGTGCCTGTAGAGGTCAGTAGAGAAGGTCACATCCCTTGGGACTGGAGTTATGGATAGTTGTGAGTCACAGTGCAGGTGCTGGCAACTGAACCCAGGACCTCCACAAGTAAAAGTGCTCTCAACTACTGAGCCATCTCTTCAGCTCTCTGCAAATTATTTTTGAAGCTGTAACATTTTGCTGACAAATTTATTTTTTCAACTTTTGAAATACTTCTTTTCTCCTAAAATAAAATGTATACCAAGTCTGATAATATTGAGAAGAATTTGTTTTCTTTTAACTATGTCTATAGAGTCTGAGGGTTATACCCCAAAGCCATTTTTATTCTTACATCTTTTTGTTTTGTTTTGTTTTTCAAGACAGAGTTTCTTTGTATAGTCCTGGCTGTCCTAGAACTTGCTCTGTAGACCAGGCTGGCTTCAAACTCAGAGATCCTCCTGCCTCTGCCTCCTGAGGGCTAAAGGTGTGCACTACCACCACTCTGCTGGTTTTTTTTTTTTTTTTAATTCTTACATCTTTATTACTATGTAAAGAACTTAATTTCAGTTCAAAAATCAGGATGGACTGGAGAGATGGCTCAGAGGTTAAAAGAGTCTGCTGCTCTTCCAGAGGACTCGAGTTTAATTCCTAGCACCCATATCAGGTAGCTCACAACTGTAACTCCAGCTTCAGAGGTCTGATACCTCTCTGGTCTCTGTGGGCACCTGCACATACCCACATGCAGGCAGACACACAGACACACAGACACACAGACACACAGACACACACACACACACACACACACACACACACACACACACACTTAAAAATAATAAAAATAGCCTAGTGGTAGTAGCTCACACCTTTAATCTCAGAACTGGGGAGGGCAGATCTCTGTGAGTTCAAGGCTAGCCTGGTTTACAGAGTGAGTTCCAGGACAGTCAGATCTGTTACACAGAGAAACTGTTTCAAAAAAAAATCAAAAATAAATAAATAAAATATATCTATACGGGCTAGAGAAAGGGCTCAGTGGTTAAGAGCAATGACAGCTCTTCTAGGGGACCCAGATTAGATTCCCACCACCCACATGGTAGACCACAGCTATCTGAAATTCCAGTTCCAGGAGATCCAATGCCCTTTTCTGGTTTTCACAAGTACTATACACACAGTGACCAGACATATATGTTGCAAAGCACCCAGATACATAAATAAAATGAAAAAAAATTAAGTCATGTCAACTTTGGTATATTTCTTTAGATGAGTTCTTAAATTGTGGATTGCCACTCCTTCTTTGGAGGTCGAATGACCCTTTCACAAGGGTCACCTAAGACCACTGGAAAACTCAGGTATTTACATTATGATCCATGACAGCAGCAAAATTACAGTTATGAAGTATCAATGAAAATACTTTTATGGTTGAGCTTACCACAACATGAAGAGCTGTGTTAAAGGGTCATAGCATTAGGAAGGTTGAGAATCACTACTCTAGATCTTTTTATTTTTAATTCAGTATGTGTGTTTTTGTTTATCTTGGTGCAATATCCACAGGAGCCAGAAGGGGCATGAGATTCCCCTAGAGTTGGAGTTGCCACTGGTTGTGAGCCACCCAAAGTGGGTACTGGAAACTGTATTCTCACCCCTGTAAGAGCAGTCTGAGCTCTTAACTGCTGACCCATCTCTCTAGCCCCTCAGTCTTAACACAACCTGATACTGCCTTATTCAGAAAATCTTTCACACACTTGTAATTTTCCTTTTTTGTTGTTTTTATTTTATAGATTAAAAAATTTTGTTATGTTTATTTAGTGTATGCTGTATGCATACATACACAAATGTCATGGCACATATGGAAGTCAGAGAACAACTTGTGGTAATCGGTCTCTCCTGTCATGTGTGTTCTGGGGTTAGAACACTACTCTTCAGGCTTGGTGATAAGTGCCTTTATCCACTAAGCCATCATCTTACTTGCAATACAGATTTTTAGAATTTTTTTTTTTTTTTTTTTTTTTTACAGATTTTATAAATTGTGATAGTTTTTTTGTCAACTTGACACAACTAGAGTTGCATGGGGGAAAGAACCTTAACTAAGAAAATACCTCCATCAGATTGCCTGTATTGTCGGTAGGGCATTACTGGTTAATAATGGATGTGGGTGGGCCCAGCCTACAGGCCACATCTGGGCAGGTGGTCCTGAGTTGTATAAGAAAACGGCTGAGTGAGCCATGAGAAGCAAGTCTTACTGACTTGCAGTGTTCCCCATGGCCTCTGTATCAGTGCCTGCCTGACTTCCCTGGATGAGAAAATAAAGTCCTTCATCCCCAGTTGGTTTTGGTCAGTGTTTCATCACAGCAATAGAAACCCCAACTAAGACAGTGTTTTTACTTTAGTGGTGTTTAATCCTTGCTTGGATGGTAGAAGTAAATACCTGAGGAAATTCCTGGAAAGCTCCCATTGTTTCTTGATTTCTTTCAGAAGAACCACCAATCACAATCAAGGGCCTGAAATAGTAATTTTTTAAAAAGATAGTTACAAATGAGAGTATATAAAACATTCAGCAGTGTCCAATGCATCATAAACAATTGTGATCAACTAAGACAGAGACTAGACATAGAAAACTACATCTTCCTTAAAAAACTGGAGGTTAAAAGAATATAAGATGTAGCTGTCCTCAAAATCAAAAAGATGGAACATATCAGCAAATGCTTTTCATTAGCTTCACCCCTTCTAGATGCTAACGTTAGGCTTGCCGGTGTAGTAACAGAAAATCAATTGTATGCCTTCATTATTCCTGAAATGGAGAGAAGGCATTTATATTTTCCTAAGTAAACCTATTTGGAAATGGCAAAACGAGTAATAGTTCTCAATTTTTATTTCTCAAGATTAAAGAACATACATCAAATTTTTAATGGTTTTTTTCTTTTTAAAGATTTATTTGTTTATTATGAATTCAGTGTTCTGCTTGCATGTATATGCCTGTAAGCCAGAAGAAGGCACAAGATCTCATTATAGATGGTTGTGAGCCACCATGTGGTTGCTGGAAATTGAATTCAGGTCCTCTGGAAGAGCAGCCAGTGCTCTTAACCTCTGAGCCATCTTTCCAGCCCTCAAACTTAAAGATTTTTAAAAATATCAACTCCTAAGGTAAACAAGGAGGAGGAAGACAAGGAAGGAAGACAGGGAAAAAGAGCTAGAAGAAACACAGTGAAGGTCAGGCGAGACAGCTCAGTGGGTAAGGGCACTTGTTACCAATCCTCATGAGGTAAGTTTGGTCCCTGGAGCCCATAGCATAAGAGAAAACCAACCTCTGTGGGTTGTCCACAGACTTCCACATGCTAGGTCCTACATGTGCACACATACACACAAAATAAAAACATAAATAATTTTAAAAACATGCAAAGAATGAAAATGTCCTTCACATTAAAAAGATTATGTTCTGAATTGATTAGAACATAATCCCCTTTGTCCTGATATTACTGGTAAAGTAGCTGAGAAAGGTTAAAAGCAAGGCTGGAGAATAAGCACTAAACACATTATCAAGAAAATTTTAACAAACAAGAATATAAATGCTGACTAGGCAGAGCAAGATGAAGACTATACACTTCTATATACTGAACTAAGGTGTTAAACAAACAAACCAAAAACTTCTCAGCTAGGTATAGTGAAACAGACCTATAACCCTAATTACCAGGGGACTGAGGCAGGAGGACCACAGGTTCCTGTTTGGGCTATGGGTGTTCAAAGCCTCCTTGGCTAACTTAGTAAGATTCACACACACACTTCAAAGCCTCCTTGGCTAACTTAGTAAGATTCTGACACACACACACACACACACACACACACACACACACACACACACAGCTTAGCTGGGCATAGTGTCAAACACCTTTAGTCCCAGCACTCAGGAGGCAGAGGCAGACATATCTCTTTAAGAATTCCAATCAGGGAGCCTGTATGGATCTGAACTAGGTCTCTTTATATATGTTATGGTTGTGCACCTTGGTCTTGTAGGACTCCTAACAGTGAGAGTGGGGGCTGTCTTTTGACTACTTTTGGACCGTTTTCCTCCTACTGGGTTGTCCCATCCCCTTAATATGAGGAGTGGTACATCCTTACTGCAACATGATATTCATGGGAGGCCTGCCCTTTTCTGAAGAAAAACAGAGGAGTGGATGGGACTGAGAAGAGAGTAGGGAAGGAGGGGAAACTGGTTGGGATGTACTATATGAGAGAATAAGAAGAAGGAGGAGGAGGAGGAGGAGGAGGAGGAGAAGCAGAAGAAACAGAAGAAGCGGAGGAAGAAGAAGAAAAAGAAGAAGAAGAAGAAGAAGAAGAAGAAGAAGAAGAAGAAGAAGAAGAAGAAGAAGAAGAAGAAGAAGAAGAAAAAGAAGAAGAATTATTCCAGACTTTGCCAGGCATGGTAATGCCTTTAATCCCTGCACTTAGGAGACAGAGGATCTTGAGACCAGTCAGTCTGGTCTACAGAGCAAGTTCCAGGACAGCCAGAGATACACAGAAAAAAAAAATATTAATAGCCAGGCAGTGGTGGCACACACTTTTAATCCCAGCACTCAGGAGGCAGAAGCAGTCAGATATATGTGAGTTTGAGGCAAGCCTGGTCTACAACGCAAGTTAGTTCCAAGACAGCCAGGGCTACACAGAGAAACCATGTCTTGAAAAACTATAAAAATTCAAGACTAACCTGGCTTACATAACATAGTGAGGGCTTAGGTTCAATAGTTAACAAATTTAAAAAACAGTTTTTTATTTAGGACTACATGCATGCTCACATACACAAACACATATATACACAGACTGAAACTCCAAAATGTTAACTGTTTCTTCCTCACATTACATATACTTAAAGGCTACAACATTATGCTTTGATATCCATTGTGAACTGATGTATGTTGTGGTCAAGCAACTTAACATTCATCATACCACATTTTTTGTTTTTTTTTAATATGTCATAAAAGTACCCCAATCTACTCTTGTAGCAAATTTCCAACATTCAGTACAATGTTATTAACTCTTGTCCTGAGGTTGCATACTGAACATCAATCAGGCTTTGCACCCTTTGCCCCCCCCCATCTCCCCTTTCTCCAGCCCACTTCCCACTTAATGACCTTCCACCCTTATGCAAAGACAGATTTAATAAGAATGTTTTAAATGTTTTAAAAGACAGTTTTCAATAAGAATGATTTAATTACCAACAGTTCATGTTCGCATTTGCCATGCCACTCAAGGCGTGGATGAGACCTGGACCAGAAACGACAAGGCATACTCCTGGCCTAGAAGGAAAGCAGAGCTTATCAACAGCAGATCAAACCTAATAAGTGAAAAAGGAGAGGTGTAGATGCCATCTATATTAGCTTGGAACATACCAACTACCAGTTAATTAGTATTATGTTAGAGTTTCCATGGAAACTTCTTGGTGGTCAGAGGGAAGACAGGTAGGCCTTTATTATAATTGACAATTACTAGAATATCTTAATTATGAAAGAGTAACATCAAGTTTCTTTTAAGATATATAACTATTACTTGTATTTTATTTTATTATTTATATTTACTATTGGAACAAAATTTACTATTTTGTTCCAATCACACTTGGGTTAAAACAAGTTGACTGATTACAGAAGCAAATTTCTGACAGCCACACATATTATACATGATTTTTTTTCATTCCCTAACATACTAAATCTCTGTGAGGACGTGATTCTAAATGGTTTCCTCCAAATCTTTCTGAATGCTTTCTTTTGACACACTTCCTGAGCCTAAATCCTCAATAAAGTATAACTATATAATTCAATTTATCACTTTACATTTCAAATTTAAGAATCTTTTAGACTTAAAATAACACTAACACAATTCTAAGTATCGAGAACAGTACCATCCCTAGAATGTTCTACAGTAGTAGTCATATTCCCTGTACAATTTGACATGATACGGACTCCAGACAGTCACTCAACACTTACAAATGTGGCCACTACAAATGGGAGGCTCTACTTAGCATATTACTTATTTCTAATTAAATGTAAAAACCTATACATGGCTAATGTTACAAAATGAAACTTTTAGCTTGTTAAAATAATCATCATTTAAGAATCAATTAAGGCACCAATGACTATAATTTAAATGCCTTTCAGGGTCAACAAAAAGATTAACATATTGTTTACATGTAAACAAAGCAACAGAATGGTTCACAGGCTGTTTTAGATGGTTTTCTTCAAGCTCAAATTTAGAAGGTTCCCATTAAAAAGAAAGAATTGTGAGAGCTTGCTTGTTTTTATTTCTTAGAATTTAATTATTAACTTCACTTTTAGAAATTAAAAAAATTCATTACTAAAGCTTATATGTAAGTGTCAAAAATGTATGGTAGAAATTTTATCAGAGGTCCAAATTCCACCTAAAAAATATGTGAATGTAGAAAAAAAGCAAGATATACGAAAAAAATATTAATGGTTGTGGAACTACAGTAATTTTAGTTTTTCTTCTTTATATTTTTTTTTACGTTTTCTAAAATGGTTATTTTTAAAAAGCATTACTTTTTAGTAAAAAATAAGGGGTGAGTAACTAGCTAACATAGACAGGAATATGCTCTAGCAATCTCATTTTGGAACAAAGCCTTTTATATAAAGTGGCCTAAGGAAGTTAGAGCTCTTATTTCTTATTAATACTATCTTCTACAATCTTTTCAAGCCTACTAAGCTTTCAGTTGACATATACCTTTCTACCCCAAACTTTCAGTGTACTCAAATAAAGTGGACTTTAGTTTACCTGCCCGTTAGGTATCCAACTGCAGAGGCAGCATAGCAAGCCTACAAAGAAAGGACAGAGGACTGAATGAAACTACAAAGAAAGGACAGAGGACTGAATGAAACATACAGAACTCTTTGCTATATATACAAGAACTCTAATAAAAGATGAGAATTTGAGCTAGTCATGGTGGCACTTAAATCCCAGCATTCACTTGGGAGAGAGAGAGAAGTGGATCTCTAAATTGGTTGCCAGCCTGGTCTACAAAGTGAGTTCCAGGACAGCTAGGACTACACAGTGAAGCCCTGTCTTGAAAACAAAACAAAACCAGTAAAAGAAGAATTGGCACACTACTTATTTTTATTAGATATGATAACCATAAATTTCAAGAATGGCCTAAGAATCTAGGTATCTAAATTTTAGTTTTTCAAGGAAAGTTTCATTACTGCTATTCTAAGTATCTTTAGAATCAAAAGGAATGTCCTCTTCTTATCAATCATTTATCTCTGTCACTCTACTTATATAGGGACAGTTGATTTGTTTGGAGTCTGGTCTTATTACCTCAGACTAGCCTTGAATTTGCTATTAGCCCATGGTGATTAGCTTTCCAAGTCCTGGAATTTTTTTGTTTGTTTGTTTTTTTGTTTTTCGAGACAGGGTTTCTCTGGGTAGCTTTGGAGCCTATCCTGGCAGTCCCTCTGGAGACCAGGCTGGCCTGGAACTCAAAGAGATCCACCTGCCTCTGCCTCCCAAGTGCTGAGATTAAAGGCGTGCGCCACTAACACCCGGCTTAAGTCCTGAGATTTTTAAGCTTTTAGTTTTTCTATACTGTTTCCTACTTTACTAATGTCTGCTTATGCATTAATTATTTAACTTCTTCCCTTGAGTTTGATTTGATTTTCCTTTCCTAGTCTTGAAAAATAAGCTGACAGAATTCGCTTTAAATCTTTACTAACAGATACACTTCAACTATTTCATCTAAAAATATTTAGCTATATATTATAAATTATATTTGACATTGACCTTTTCATTATCATTGATTAAAAATATTTTCTATTTTCTACTGTGATTTCTCCAACCCATTTGCAAATTAGAGTCTGTATTTAGGTCTGTATTTCCATTTCTCATATTGGTAATCTGCATTTTCTCTTTTATCCCTCATCAATTTGGCTTGAAGTTTTCAGATAAATACAGGAGCCAGTGAGTGTGTTGTTTTTTTTTTCTTTCTTTTTAGTTTAACTTTATTTTATGTGCTTTATGTGAAAGTGTCAAATCCCTGGAACTGGAGTTATAGACTATTGTGTGCTTCCATGTGGATGCTGGGAATTGAACCCTGGTCCTCTGGAGGAGCAGCCAGTGCTCTTAACCACTGAGCTATCTCTCTAGCCCCATGTTACTATATTTTAAATGTGATTTTTTTTGGGGGGGGGGTGGGACTGGAGAGATGGCTCAGTGGTTAACAGCATTGGCTGCTCTTCTAGAGGTCCTGAGTTCAATTCCCAGCAACCACATTATGGCTCATAAACCATCTGTATCAGGATATGATGTCATCTTCTGGCATAAAGTCATACATGCAGATAAAGCACTCATATATAAAATAAATAAATAAATCTTAACAAAACAAAATAAATAGGACATATTTTAAAAATAAATGTGATTTTTCAGTTATCCTTCTGTTACTGGGTTTGCTTCCACGTGGTCAGGTTACACTTTATTTACTGTATGTTTTCAATTCTTAATGGCCAACATGTTTTTTTTGTCTGTTTTGTTTTGAGATGCGATCTCACCCTGTGGCCTAGGTTGACCTTGAATGTAAGGAAGCCTTGTAAGCCTTGTGAGCTAAGGGATACAGCTGGGAGTCACCAGGCCTGGCCACTTTTCACTGAACTTTCCTCTATCCAGCTTATAAGGGAGATAGGAAACACGAAGTTAAATCAAATACAAGATGAGGGGGGGGGGGATGAGTGCATATTATAAATTATTCTTTATCTAGGACATTATTATTTATTAATTAATCTTTTTCTTTTTTTCTTTTGGTTCTTCAAGACAGGGTTTCTCTATGTAGCCCTGTAGACCAGGCTGGCCTCAAACTCATAGAGATTCCCCCATCCTCTGCCACCAGAGTGTTGGGATTACAGGTGTGCACTACCACCTTGGGTTAGTACTCATAGTTCTTAAGACGGGAAAGTCTGGAGTCAAAGTGTTCTGATTCTGATCCCACCTCCATTCTGCTGTGGTTTTGACAAATAACTTGGCACACTAGCTTCTTCATCTATAAAATGAATGTAACTCAGAACACTACTAGGAGGATGAATCAGGGGTCTCAGCCATATAAAGTACTTAGAATATATTGAATTTCCTGGCAATCTGCCTATTTTCTGTTCATATGATCAATGTCTCGACTGCTTTAAGGAGCTGATAAATGACAAACAGTACCCAGGTGTACCTTTCCTTTTAGCATAAACATGCTCTTGAATCCTGAGCCTTCTTGCATTTCCTTTGAACAACTCCATCATTAAACCCATCACCTTCCCTTTTGATTGTTTCTCCTCTCTATTCTCAACCTCAAGCAGTAGCATTATCACCTACAGTCATCTGAGCCCCTAACCTAGCCATCACCTCCACAAGAGCTAGCCTTTTCCTTCCTAGTAGGTAACACCTACTCTTTCTTCAGGATAGCTCTGACATCATCTGCTGTGGGACACTTTCTTGGAAGATTATACTTGTTTATTTAATTCTGTGGTTGTTGTTCTAGAGAAATCCAGGGCACTAGGCATGTTAGGCAAGTACTCTACCACTGAAAGATAACCCAAGCTCTTCAGGTCTCAGTTGACTGGGTTGGCTGCAAACTTGAGATCTTTTATTTCACTTGAGTAGATACAGAGACTACAATTGTGATTTTCCATAATCATCCTTTGGCCTACCCATCCATTCCCACAGCTTGTCACGCCTTTAAGCTGCATTGATGCCTCAGGAACAAACATTTCTTCCATGATCAATCTTCCCTGTCCTATCAGAGAATCAGCCACATACTCTTGCTACCTTGTCTCTTGCATGTATTTCTTCCATGAGAACCAGTATTCTAGATTGTCTTTTTTGTGTCTTGCCCTCACTCTCCCAACTGATGAATTTGGAGATTAAAAATAAACCTCATTTCTTCTTTATATCCCTCTCTTCCACTGCTTATGCAACACATACCAAGCATATATAGTATATACATTGCATATCTAATGACAGAAGAGGAAGCAGTGGCAAACATACTGCCTTTAGGAAACAACAAAATGTAGATCAACAGCTATACTTTCCCATGCAGGTAAAAGGATAAAGTTGTTCCAGGTAAGAAAACTGAAAGGTAAGTGTACAGCTCAGTGGCAGGGTTTAGTATGCATAAGGTTCTAGGTTCAATTCCCAGCACTGGAAAAAAAAAGGGGGGGCGGTGGAGGAGTTTCAATACCTACCAGTTTTCAGATTAAAAATACTACCTTGTTGATAAACATTTTTCAATTTGTAAATAATGTGGTAAGCATCTATATTACACAAAGGCCTCCATCAAACAAGCACTGTGGGGATATGAATAATGAACCATAACTTCTGCTGCACTGGAGCTCACATTTGATGGTAGAGAAAAGGTGGCAAGAGCCCAGATCAAAGGGCAGGAGTGGGAGTGGAAAACAGGACTCTGCCTCAGCTGGGCTGACAGAATACAAAATGGATTCTTACTGTTTAAAAATGTATTCTCATT